GCTTGAACTGGAAATTGTATAAATTCACAAGAAATATTATTGGGCACAAAGAACCGCTTGATTGAATATGGCGTTTTCCACTCATGAGTGTTTAATTTCATCCATCGATTTTCACTCAATATTGAATATCTTTATAGTTATACTCAAATTTTTTCTGGTCAGGACTTGTACTTCTGTTATTTTGTTACAGGATTTTGTATTTTTCTCTCTTATTTCTTTTTTTGTAATTTTGAACATTGTTTAAATCCAATTGTCAGTGCATGCAATAAAATTATTATTATTATTATTATTATTATTATATTTCTCCTCATGTTGGACCATTAAATTCTCTTTTCACAACCACTCAACGCATTCACGGAGTCGGGGCCAAGTGTTAACTCGGAAGTCTCTTTTCGCGCCAACCTAATCCTCGGAAATTATCACTTTCGGAGCTCTGCTAAAAAGCGCGGATGCGCTTCTCTCCGCACAGCTTGCATTCGCGCGAATGAATTTCATCTCGCGGATAACCGCCTGTCCCCGAAACAATTTACTTCCGCGACCGTAATTACTTTGTCCTTTGGAACATGTAAAGGCTTCAATTCATACCTCCGATACGGTCTCGCATGGATTTTAATAATCGCTTCGCTTTTTTCTCTCAATTCTTTTGTCGTGGGAGCAGAACGGCCGGAAAACATCGAATTTCCGCAGAAACTCATTTTATCAAGTTCTCTTTTGAAGGGTTATGGTCGTTTTTCACCGCAAACTTTATCCCGTAATTCTTCTGATTATACAGAAAATGACTGGTAATAGCCAACCGTTGTGGAGTAGACTAGCAACAGGTACAAGGATTTGTACCATCCGGCGTCAATACGCCGACCCATTTCCGTTCCCGAGTCATCAATAATGATTTCTCGGCAGGAAAAGTATTAACTAGTATTATTGTGTATTATTAGATTAACTAATCAAGGTAAATATGCATTGTTAATAATATTTACAGTTGTGTTACTCTCGAAATGAATTATTGATTTGTTATAATTTTGTAGAATATAAAAATTATCATAATAAAAAAAATGATTTTCAGAAAGTTGTGAAACAAAAATGACAAAAGTGACATTGATTATGTTTTAGTATTTTGACACTATATTATTATAATTACACTATAATTATTATAATTAATATACAAAAATCGATAACGATTATAGTCAGGGTCATCTGCAGACATATCGTTCCTTCAAAAGTGACACAAAAGAATTTAGTTTTCCAAAAAAGAAAAACTATTTTTCTATTTAACAGAAAATTATTAACTAATCAAATAACATTGACAAAAAGAATATACTTTTAAAAACATGATATTTTTGTCATTTTCGGTTTATAACTTAAAAAAAAACCACTTTTTTTTAGTTATGACAATTTTGATATCCTAAAATTATAATAAATCCGAAATAATTCATTCAAAAATGACATACTTAACTCAAAACCAACAGTTTATACTTATCTTGGTCAACTAAAATGACTAAATTCAAAATAAAATAATTTCTTTTTTAAACTTTGATCATTATAACTATCTTAATGCTAATGTTTTCTGCAGAAGAATCTCCTTTTTATTTACAAAAACAATTTTACAAAAACAACTCAAACTCTTGTGTCTCTTGTAAAAGGTAATATGATCCTTTTGCAAACTTTAAGAAGTAATAACGACATAAATACGATTAAAGAACGGATTGTAAAGTTAAATTAGTTTACTTTTGATGATTGATAGAGATAATTTTTACCTAACTTATTTATGGTCATATATTTAAAATCATATTTTTTTTAGTTGCGTCAGTTTTGAAATAAAGGAACTACATAAGATACCTTTTGTGCAAAGAAGAATTTTGCTACTCTTCTTAATCTTTTTATATGACAATTTTCTAAATAAGGCACTAATTAAATATTTAAAACAAATATCTTTAAAGAAAACATAATTTTTCATTTTTGTTTTTGGTGCTAAAATGATTCGGCGTAGTATTAACATAACATTTACCTATGGTAAATAAATATTTACTAATCAGAAAAAATCAGAAAAAATGATAAATCAAATTAATGGATTTTATATACTAAATAAATATATGTTTACATTTAATAAATATTCAGCTGATGTTATTAAACAAATATTCATTAAAACTTAGTACATTTTCTCTCATAATCCGTATACAGTGCCCAATCTGCTTACGGTGACCTTAATTATAGTTCGACTATTCGACGCATCACATATCTTATGAATAAAATATAATTTAGATTTTTCGGCAGAGAAAAATCAATGGACAGCTAAAGAAAAGGCACGTGTAATTTACTTAAATCATTCTTAGAAAGAATGATTATTAAAAAGAATGATTCTTAGAAAGAATGATTTTGCTAAAAGATTTAAAATTTTGCTCGATACAGATCTGAAAATAATGTTGTTAGAAACTCAAACTGATTACTAGAATATAAAAATGTTTTGCAGTATTACTCCTCACTTTTTAGTTTCTAATATAATTATTTTGATCCAACAAAATTATTTTCCGTTTCAAAATTATTTGCTATATCCAGCAAAATTTTAGATTCTTCAGCAAAATCATTTTGTCCGGATAAAAGATATCTAATGCTTTCCAGACATTTCACTCGTTTCTTATTTTGTCAGATATGATACATTCTGAACCGAAAGGGTGTTCAGTCATAAATACGCTATCGGGAATGTTTCGAAATACTGTGGTTTGCGCCACATAACAAATTCGATTGAAAAAGGTATCGATGCGGATTTCGCACAGACCTTTTCGTTAGACAATAAAACACACTGCGCGTAAATAGAGAAAGCCAGGAGCACCAGAACGAAGAATACATTACATAAATCCTAGTGTGGCCGTCGCGAAATTGAATACAACGTTATATAAGGAGATAGAATTCGAGGCAAAGATGAAGGAGAATTCTCCAAAATCAAGTGATAGAGAGAGAGAGATTGGCCAGCGTTGAGAGATCATAATAAAGGGTTTGTAATAAAGAGGCTATGCCTCTGCTGTGACAAGAACAAGGCATTGTTGGAATGTTTCACGAGAATTAGCTGCAATTAAGGCGATTTACCGACAGGCATGAGATTGCGCATGGACGACCGAAATAGCGAAATAGCAAAGACGGTAAACTTCCGAGCGCTACAATCTCCTCTAACAGCTCGCTTTGTCGCGCAGGTGATAGCTTGGGGTACCTTACTTTATGATTATTTCATAATCCCGACGATGCACCTCGCACATCGCAAAAATAGTGATTTAACGTTGTTGCTTTGGATAATTGCCTTGGATTCGCATTACAATTGTTTTGTTAACAAGGAAAATAGTCATAATTTTTTTTTACGTAAACAATCACCTCGGATTTTTTTTCATCCCAATTAAAATCATTATTATCAACAACATATTGTATTTAAAAGCATATGAGTTTAATTACAATTCTTTAAAAAAAGTAAACAGAAATCAAATATTAAACGGAATAAGCACGTTAAATAGCTTATTAATAATATTTTTAATAAATAAAGATTTTAATTAATATAATGTTTTTTAATTAAGAGTTTTCGAGAGAATTGCATATTTAAAGAATATGAAATCATGAAAAATAGTTATTAAAAACAAAAAATATGTTAAACAATATCTATCTAAAATAATATTTTATAATAATTCACATTTTTTCGCTGTGGGATAAAAACATTCCGGGTGACTATTTCCGGGTTAAAGAGGCTGCCGGCGTCGCGCCGGCATTTACGAATAAAATTAAGATAATTTGCGAGATAAAGTCATATGCTGCACTGCATAAATTTACGTGCATTATTATATAACAATTACAATAATAATATAACATAATATAATATAATATAACATAACATAATATAATATAATATAATATAATATAATATCATAATAAACAGTAGTATATTGATTGATAAAATTGTCCATTTTTCCTTCAATTTCTGTTTCTACGTTTTCCATTTCATTTGTGAACACTATTGGTCAATCGGTATTTCCTTTTTTTTCATCGGTTATTATATTACTCACGTAATCTATTCAGCGGCACGTGGCACGTGAAATGGGGTTTTTCAAAATGCGCGGATTGAAAAAACAAAAGGCGTGATATCGTGCGATATCACACATGCCGGCGGTCAATACCATCCGTTTCGATAAAATAGAACGCTTAAATCTTCATCGAACAATTCAAATGTCAAATACAATTACGTTACATATTAGCCTAATTTCTCTCAGGCTATATTAATTGGATAAATCCAATGATAAATGTTGAATTCAAAATAAACACTATATTGCATATTAGTAAATTGTAATGTTTTGATTTCCACTGACCTATTTGAAATAACAAATACGGATAAATACCTATTAATTTAATTTCTTCCCTTTGATTAAACACAGACAAAGCTAGCGATCATTACTACAACTTATAACAAGTAATATAAGTTTAATTTATAGTAAATATTTACTTACAGTAAAGAAATGTTTACTTGAAACAATTCAAGAAAAAAGTTACTTGGATTTAGAAAATTTTTTTTCAGTGTAATAATAATATATTTGCTTAAAAATGTAATATTATTTCCTTATTTCAAAAGTACCAATTAAAAAAATATGACTTTCAAGAGAGTTACTATGAGTTAAGTAAACATTACCCTATCAATCGTCAAAAGTGAACTTAACTTCATAAAAAATCGTCAAAATCATCACAATTCAAAACAGTAATTTTTTAAGAGTTGCGAAACAAAAGCGACAAAAATGACTTTCATGTTAAGAATGTATTTTTTTTGCCAATATTATTTGATTAGTGAATAATTTTCTTTCAAGTTGAAAAATAGTTGTTTCGCTCTTCCTGGGAAATTTAATTTTTCGAGTGTCACTTTTGAAGTATAGGAACGATATGAGCTTTCCAAGTGTCGGATACAAACGGAAAAACATTGCAATCCGAAACTCTTTCTAACTTTACTGTAGCCTAAGATGGATAATAGAACTGCCGCTCACCGTCAATGTCGATTTCCTGCAACATCGTTCTCAACTCCTCCGCTCTCGCAAATTGTCCCAAGGAACGCATAACCCTGCCGAGTTCTTCTTTTGTGATAGTTCCATCGCCGTCCTTGTCAAACAGCCTGAAAGCCTCCCTGAATTCTGTTGGGGAAAAGAAAAAGAAGAAACCAGCGTGAGTAACTTTAATATAAATACATTTCGCTTTCTACACTGGAAATAACTAAAATTACTTCGACTTTCTCGGTCTCTGAGAAAATTGTACAGTGTAAATTGTTTCGCCGTTTATTCTCATTTACGATGCAATTTTAGAGCAATTTTTTCTAGTCTTCTACTTTTACGTTAATTAGATTGGGTATTATACGCTTTGAATCTTTTCCTTTAGCCGAGTATCCTGACCTGTTATGGCACCAACGTCAAGTGTCCTCTCTGGAATTACCCTTTCAGAGATGGTCACCGACGGAGTCGGTTAAGGGTATATGATCGAATTCCCGGAGCGAATTTGACGAGATACGAGTACAAGCCACTGCGGGCTCAGCTCGACAGTGCTTGACTCGATCGTTTAATGGCCTCGTTTCTCGCGCCGTTGATTCTGGCGGCACATTATACGCGTATCCATGCACAATTGCTCGTACGAGGAAACTATGAGTCTCGATGTAATCGACGTGATCGCGTCTTACGCTTTTACAGTCTTATTCACAGTTGCAACGCGAATTTTACCTTAGATGCACATCGCGTGAAACGAGTTACATATTATCTTGAATTGCGGACGCGATTTCAGTGATCACATTTGGCGTAGAAATCAATTGAGGCCGGAGGATTCAGATGGGAAGTAGAGAACGATTCTTCTTCTTTATCTACGGACTTCCGCCCTGTCAGGAATGATACCGCTCCCGTCATCTCTGCTTCTTTCGTCCCATTTCGGTTCTCGTAAAACTTTCGAAAAAAGCTGCTACATAGGGTATTTTACATAGAGTTATTGAATCAATTTTTTTTTAATTGACTACATAATAATTACTGTGATTTCTTTTCAAGAATTTTAGCTGCATGAAAAATAATTACTGTGATTTCTTTTCAAGAATTTTAGCTGCATGAAAAAGAAACTTGGGACGAGAGATGAATTTTATCTGAATTTCTAATAGCGACTGTAAATATCGAATCGCAATTATAGATATAATTTCATGAGAATTGAATAGCCTTCATCTATCTGTTGAACCGTATCACATTTCAAAATGAACAAGAATGCGAGCATTAGAATTGCATTACTATAATGGACTTTAATACAATGTGGATTAGAATTTGACGTCGATCATGCTTCGATATTAGAGATTCGATTGATTACGTAATTTAAACTAGCATTTTTGAAAAATATTAAAGCAAATTACAAAAATAAATGTGGTACATAAAATAGGAAAATCTTTATTTTAGTTTGTAAAGTAATGCAGAGAAAGTAATCTTTATATATAATTAATTTTTATATAATTCATTTTATGTATAGAATTTAGTGGTAGCATGTGTTCCCTCCGTTTTTTTTTTCTGTTCTTTGTCAACGATTCTACTTATAATGTTAATTGGCAAAACGGACAATAGTGTAGTGACACGATAGCTGCTTTAAAAGAAGCCTTCTTATATACAAAGGCGATAAAGACGTAACAATTTTCCAGAAGAAATTATGTTCGTCGAAGTACATAATTATCAAATATACGAAGACACGTAACTTTCGTAAATATTTTCAACGAACACGATCTTAGAAGAAGAAACTCAATGGAAAGAAAATAAAGAATCAGTAAAGAAACGAATTTTTCGTAATAAACCAGCGAGATTTAATCTGTGCTAATTTAATGTAATTGTTTAATTTGATTCTTGTAAATTTTGAGATCGCACTTTCAAAGAAGTTTCATGGAATATATTTAACGTGATGAAACTGAAGGATAATCGATCGTACAGTATATAAAGTTACGCCGTTTATAACAAAGTTAAATACACAATCTTTGTTTATAGTTAGACGAGTTTCGTGAAAACTAAAATATACTTAAAGCATAACTGATAAGTGCCTGTCTCAAGCTGTATTAAAAATATTGATGAGCACCTTTTTTCATCGGTGCTATTCTGAAAAGAAGAACTTCATTCAGAGCTCGCGACTATATAATGACATTGTATGTGTAATAAAAATTACTAGGAGATTGGTTATTCAGTTTCGTCGATAAATATGTCTGAATTAATGTCATTTCGCACAAAACTCATGCCGCGAAGTGGAAAAAAATATGAAATGGAAGAGAAAATTGTCTATTCACATTTTCACGTTGGATTCTCTTAAAAAGAAATTGAAAGCATTTATTCTTTGATTAATCGGTTTTTCAGATTGGTTTCGATGATCTGCCATAGAACATTTACGTTTGGCTTAGCGAGAATAATTAAATGTAAAAAAAATGGAAACGATGAGCACCACGAAATGTAAAACGATATTATAGGCATTACAATGCAATTTGTTTGACATCGATTGAAGAGATCTCTATTCATCTGACTTGATGTGAGTGGAAATGTAATATTCAATAGCGATATTTATAAAACCAGAAAGAAAAACAAGTGCATGATGGACGACGCGTGCGAAAATGAAAAAAACGTTCGTGCTAAAAAAAATGTTCGACGTCTGCATGACACCGTGTACGCAAAACGTGAAATTATTTATCTCGCGTGCAGATTTGATCGATCAATTGGCCTGATTTCCGATTCTCGAACGTGCACTTGTCGTGTACGACGGCGATAACGGCGGGAAAAATAATGGCCGGTTGGCAAAACTGTGAATGAAGCTCACATACGCCGCGGTGCGGCGGAATAGCGAGCATAGTTTTATCGGGATTAACGAAGCGATGACACCAAACAGGAGATATCCCGTTTACCGGGCATGCCAAATTGAATCCGGCGCCGTGGGCATCTCCATCATCCGGCATCTGACGCCGCGATCAAAAGAGTACAAATTTGCATTTCGGCATGTGAAGCCTGATATCATAATATAATATGAGGTGATGAATACAGGAGAAAATAATTTTGCTCGCACGTTGTAAATGAAATTATTATCTTAATCATATTGTTTTAATTATTAATCTATTACGTTCATATTTCACTGAAATATCGTGGTTGCATGAGTATTTGTCCGAAAAATTATTCTTCTAAAAAAATTTTTGAATACATGCCTTTTGAGAAAAAAATATTGGGAGATATTTTATATAATAAGAATTTGTTATATAGAGTTATATTATTATATGTTTTATTTTAAGGAGTCTTTTAGGATTTTTGCACATGGAAAAAGACACTTTCAGTAAAATTACCATTAATTTTTCTGTTGATAAATAAAAGTATTATTTGTCAACATGTTTTTTTTTGATTAGTTATATAAGTGAATCCTAGAGGTTTGCGCGTTCTTTAATTGGATGCCGGATGAATTTAGGAACTAAGTTGGATTAATTAACAATAAGCATTCTACTGAAAGTATCTTTTTCCGTACACAAAGGTCCTATAATCCCTTTACAAGATAGAATAGATAACAGGATAGAATAGATTATCCCTGTAGATAGAATTAATTATGCGAGAAAAGTTACCTGTCTCGCTCAGAACGAATGAAGACTGTGATGGGTAAGCCTGATATTTCACATGTCGCGCGACGAGTTTTTCGGGGGCGTGCCAATTGGCCATCAGATGGAGACTTTTTGGAGCCCCCGAAAAACTTGTTCTCTCAATAGGTCAATCGGCCAAAAAACTTGCCGTACGACGAATGAAATATTAGCTTAAAGCCCAGATGAGATTCGTGACGCACAGTTTGGATCACGTTAGAGAAAGGGAGAAAGAGATAAGCTTCTCCGCTGAGAAAAGTGTTTCATATTTATGACTATATTTGCATAGTAAAATAATTATGGTTAAGCGCTCCATTTTTATTGTTACAGTTTATAGTTATTGTATTGCTATAATAATGTTAGTAATAATAATTATATTTCTCATTCTATATAAAAAAAATATATTGTTTGCACCGAAAGTGACTTTAAATTATAGTACTAATTATATATTTTTTTGTGTATAAATAATATATAAAAAATATATATAATTCTATGATATATACATAATATTGTATTTATTATATAAATATATAATATATACAAAAATATATATTCTATAAGGAGAATTATAAATATAATTTTTACAGATATTCGTAAGCAGCAATAATATTAAATTGCTTATCAATTTAATTTGTATTATTACGTATTCCCGTTTCAATTGAGGAACGTGTTTCAAGGCCGACAAATAATTGCAGTTTACTTAAAATGGAAATTGTAGAATTCACACAAAAATACTATTAGGCATTACTCTATTAGATCTGTTTCGACCAAATAAGATGTGTATTTGTGTTGAATAAATAAAAACATTATTATTAACATTATAACAATAACTATAAAAATAAAGCTTCTAATCTTAATTTTACTCTATGCAATATATATTATAATCATAAATACAAAACACTTATTTCTCAGTGTGCATTTTTGCATTATATTCTTTTTTTATTTTCTCTTTCTCTCTCCCTTTGTTCTTCCTATTTAATTTTCAATTCTAGTAATGCAATTAGACTGAAAAAAAGAAACACTTCTGTTGAGATCTCTCGACTCACCTTTCATCTGCGATTTCGATATAGGTGTCTTGCTGGACGAAGAATGGCTCGCCGACGATCGTTTCGGTGAAGCCGGCAGGGACAGGAGAACGTTCGTGGAGAGCGGGGTTCTGACAGGCTCGTCGAGGATGGACGACGAGGACGCGGCCGTGTCCGTCGGCCACGTCAGGGATAATTCTTGCGGTTCCTGCTGCAGTTGCCATAGTCGCCGGTGTTGCAGATTCGTTGAGACGTCAGCAGCGGAGCACGATCCCGCGGAAACGTAGATCGGCTGTATCGGTAGCGCAGACGTTGTCACGGCCATCGTCATCGACGCCCGCGGGGTGCAGTCCAAAGGGCTGGTGCTCTCATGTCCCTCCGCGCCGTTTCCTACCGCGCCGCTGCTCTGTCTTGTCTGCAAGTAATCGCGGCCTGAAATGCATCTCTCCCGCTCGTCCCGAGAAGTTTGAACCGGTCAATAGGAATTATTTAGACATTTGTTTATTGTACAGCTTCTTTTCAAACAAAAGCAATGAAACGAGTTTAAGATTGAATCGTCGCACGCGAAGTGTTGTATCCTAAAAACGTTTTTAGTGTGAATGTTCTCATAAATACTCCTCAACATAACCGAGTTTTATACATGTCACAGTCAAAATGATAACTCAGTAAAGTATACATTTACTGTAATCTGCTGTAGTCAATGTATTATATATTTTCTATACATTAACTAGTAAGTGTATACATTTACTAAAGTTAACACTTTTACTGTGACATGACATACACTGAGAAAAAAATTTTTTATATTTTTGATTGTAATTACATTTTTTAAATTTATAACTTTAATTACATATTTGCATGTTACCATAACTATAATTATCGTGTTATAATTTTAGTAATGTAAAGTATACATATAATTGCTATTAATAACATTTGAAAAAGCGATAATAGTAATATAATGGTAACATATAATTATATGTAATTATAAATACCACAAATGTAAAATTTTTCTTTCAGAGTGTGAGCCTTTCAGAAGTAGATTGATTAACTCTATAAAATAAAAATTAGAAAGAATATTAAAAGTTATGTACTGATCATGTGCTCTAGTACTAAAAATAAGAAGCTTACGAGAGTGGAGTTGATCAGTTTAGTTTCTGAGAGGTCCACGTACCAGAGAGAGTTAAAGGGACACGAGAGATTTTCTTTTTGCAAAAGTATTCTTGACTTTTTACCAAGGGTGTGTGATTTTTCCAAGTAGCTCTTCTAAGTCTTTGTTTTTTCAGCAATCTCTCTGCGCACGATACATTATCTTATACCAACATTTGACAAGCTTGATATAAAACTTTATGTAGCTCCAAGGCTTTAAAAAGGACATTGCGACAATGTTTTTAGAGAGACATTTAAAAGGCTCGTTTTTTACATCGCTCTTTTGCGCTTCTCTTCTTTATAAGATTTTGTTTTAGGGTTGACTGCTATAACTGTTAACTTATAAATGTGTCGTTGAGCGACAGGCGAATTGCTCAAAGTAAAAGTACCTTAATATTTGATCTACTCGTGTCAGACGCCGTTAGGCACGAAATGTGAAACTTCTAAGGCAGTAGCATACATCCGACAGTATCTAGCCGAGTTCATTCCGTTATTTCAGTGTCAAGCCTTATCAATTATTAAAATCTACTCGCACATAAAGTGTCAGCATACGGGAGAGACGCGATTTTAATTTCAAGAACGTGCTAATGCTGTTTGCTGAAATGTTTTAGCATTTGTACATTTCGATAAAGCGAAAAGACGTAAAGAGAAAAAAGGGGAGAAAAGAGAGATCTGTTAATCCTACTTCATTCGAGTGATTTTTTTTTAACGTAATTACTCGCACTGTTTCTGACACTTCATCAACATTATACCTCAATTTTCGTTATTCTCTTCGACGATTCATAAATAAAGATTGATAATACTCTATATATATTCTTTAAATAAATCCTTTAAATAAAAATAAACACAAACAATTTTTTAATTGTGAAACAATTTGTGCTGAATTTAATAACATATACATGGAAAGAATGATTTTGCTAAAATATCTAAAAATTTATATAGGTAGTTACAGATTTGAAAATATTGTTTGGGGTATAAAAATAATTTTGTACGACGCTGAAACTAGTTGGTAGGATGTTAAAAGTTTTTGTGGCATTCTTATCAACACTTAAACAGTCAACATCATTATTTTGATGGTCCAACAAAAATATTTTCATACCCGTGTCTATAACTAAATTTTTAAATACTTCAGCAAAAAAAAACTGTTTTTGCCTGTATAAATAACTTAATATATTTAGTGAATTTGTAAGATTTCTCTAAGAGAAAAATTTTTGGCATTTATGATCATTAATGGATGTGCATAATTATGATTATTACGTTATAATGTATATAAAGTAATAATATAATATATCTATAATATTAATAATTAGATGTATATAAGTCTAATTATTTCTATCAAAAAATATATATTATTAGCAACTAAAAATGACTATAATTATAGTTATTATTGATATAAAAATAGGTTACAATAATTTAATTATAATTTATAGTCATTTTTCGGGACAACTCATAATATAGTCAACTATAAATTATAATGCACCTAAAAAAAAATAATTTTAATATTAGCAGAAACCGCTAAATCTTAGACGATTTTATTCTTATATACGACCTCAAGAGGAATCTTCTGAAATTAAGAGGAAAATATGCTA